ATAACTTTTGTTCAGCTCAGAGAGATTTTTTTCCACTTGTTTTCCATCCTTGGATGACTGACCAGGCTTGGCCTACCTATGCAACTTCTTCCCAATCCCTGTTGGCTGATCCATGGGCTGCAGTAAAAAAAGCAGGATACATTCATAATATTCTGAAAGGATAATGTGGCTTTTTATTTAATTGGCAAGCATTGCATTGCTGGCAGGTAATATATTTTCCATTTAAATCTATATAATGATATTCATAAAGCGTAAAAGTTAGTGGGCCCATGAGAGGAACAATGGGAACCGACTAGGACTGAACAAAAATCCGAACCTCCCCTTGCCCATCTCAAGCTAGAGACAAAACCCAGCAAAGGCAGGGGAGCATCTACCTGTACTGTACGTGGAACTTCCCTACAGCCACGCACCTGCGGGCTTAGAAACAGATTTCATGCCTGTGGTTTCGGGAAGGCTTGGCTCTCACCTTTCTTCTCAAAGCATTTAAGCCATCACATCTCACAAACGTTTTTGGAAGCAATTTGTACTCGGACGGTGTAGGACACGAAATGGAAAGAGGCTGGAGGTCTGTGTAAGCCTAAAGCTGCTTACTAATTCGTCACCCACATATCAGCTATCCCAGAATCATTAATCATCAAGAGAGGTACATGACAGCTTCAGAGCTTTTATAAAAGGAAAGCTGGAAGTAGTTTTGGAAAGTACTGTAGGAGTTTTTCTTCCAGCCAATTTTCCCCCTGTAAAATTGGTTCTGAATTCATCACCCACACACGCTTTCCTGAATTCTAGTAACATTTTACATTTATTGGCATGAGGTTCAGGATAAGTTGGCTTTGTTTCTCCTCCCCACTCCCCCTCAGGAGTTATTCTGTCCACAAGAAGTAATGGTCAAAAATGTTTAGCAGAGAGGATTGAAAGTTTAGCTGCTTATCTAGAAAAACAGGGCATGCCTGAAGTCATGGCAATGAAGTCAGCAGACAAAGCAGACTTCCTTCTGAGCCAACACTGAACCACTGTTCCCTTCTGGTTCTCTGTGAAGCAGGAAAAGAAATATATTAGCCAGCCTTTTCTGAACTTCAGAAATGGCTACTTCTTTTGCCTCTGGTGCCTTTTTGAACAGACGAGCAAGCCCAGCCATGCAGCAGTAGGTAGCCTGGCTGTTTCTGGCTGTGCAGGACTAAGCCAGCCCATAGTCTGCTCTGTGTAAGGTCTGGTATGGTCATGATATCCCCCATTCTCTGTGTTGGTTAACGCAGATGAATGGAACTGGACTTGAGCATTTCAAGTTCAAAACCTGCGTGTCTTTCAGTTTTCATAAATTCACCTCCACAGCTTCTACACGGATCTAGGAGCCTTACATTTTTAAGGTGGACTCTCGGGCTTTCTCCCTAGCACTACCCCTGTGCTCCTGTTCCTGCCTGCTGCTGGTTTTTGGCATATTGTGCTGCCACAACCGGACTGTTTTTGTTCTTAGCTAACAAGTCCTTTCACATGCCAAAACAAACCTCCCCAGGGTTCCTGTATCTTCCTTCTAAGACCACTCGGTGTACTTTGCCAGCTACTGCACTCCTGTGTTTGTAGAATAAGCCTGCCCTGTCTCATCCCCTCTTGCTGCCGTGTCCTCCATGACTTAAAGCTCTCTCCATATAACCTCTCCAGTGTTCATCCCTCCACAAAGGTTTCCTTCTAGCCCAGCTTCACTATTATTAAGGCAATATTGCCTTTTCTGCCTATGCGTAAAGTGCCCAGTGTTGCACTGTCTGCATTTGAGTGAAGCAAGTAATGCCCCAAGAGGCTGACTTAAAATTATACACTATGTATATTCAGAAAACTGCATTTTATTAGCATCAAGGCTTTTGTGTCTTTGAAAATTGGATTTAAAGTTTTTTTCTTCAGCAGTCACAGTGATGGCATTCAAATCATAAGTGGAAGTAGTGAGTCTGATGTGAGTCACCTGACTTATGGAATCTCAGGATTCAAATAAAACTATGAATTGCTGAGAAAAATTTTGAGACTGAAACATCGTTAGTATCTTATAAATATCTATTTAACAGAACTCATCTTCATTGTGCACGCACAGTCTTAAACTACAGACAACCATTTGCAACCAGTCTTAACATCTCTCTGTTCAAACAGTTTCTCCATCTGCATTGCTAGCCTAGATGCAAGTATTTTCTCAGTGAAAAAATATAGCTTGTGCTCTACACAAGGTTATATTAGATTAATGGTCCTTTCCAGTTGCAAAATCCATAAGACTGTTCTCCATTGTTGGTCTTTGAAGCAATTTTGATAGAGTTTTCTTCAAGCAGGACTGGCTTTCGTAACACATGACTGAAATATTGATGAGAGGACATCCTGAAGCAGATCTAGGGATGACTGACTTGTACAACTGCAGCACATTTGGCACATGTGGATGCATCAGATCAAAAGTACCCGTGCTGTGGAGTCCATGCATGCACCCAGATAAGACAGTCCTCTGGCAAGTCTACACCAGACAAATGCTCTCTCAACTGCTATAGCGTTTTTTGTCTATGACATCGCACATGAATGGGGTTAGCTTCATGAAAAACACCTGCAAAGCTGTAGCATTGCACTATTTTGACTTTGTCCTTTAAAAAAAACTACGTGACACTTGACAATGGCTATAAACAGCACCATCTCCTTAGGGATTCTCTTGTGCATTGTATATTAATATAGGATTTGCACGGCAGGATCTAGATCTCCTATTAAAATCCCTAGCAGTAAATCCACACAAATACTAAATAAAATTTATTTACAGGGATCAAAAGCCTCTATCACAATTCCTGTCAGTTTTGTGAAGCTACATTTGGGATTAATTTGACCCACTACAATTATTTTCACATCTGAACACATCATAAAATCTCTATAAAGAGATAAATTAAATGGGGAAGAGCAACACAAAAATTATTTACTATAAATTATGAAATAAAACAAGATGGCAGAGTAATCTCTGCACAGATGAACCACTAAAATATAATTAGTGAGACTCAGCAAAAGACTGAATATACCTGAAATAGCTTTAACATGTCTTGAATAAGATATGATCTTGGCATACGTTTAAAACTCCTGTTCAGCTCAACTTAAAAAAAAAAAAAGGCAAAGGAAAGGAAAAAGAAAAGAGAGCGTGTCAGAGAGATTGATCTATATGACTGGAAAGCTGAGAAGATTATTAATGGGATAAAGAACCTTTCTGTTACAAGTTACTAGTCTGAAGGCGGTCCAGTATTACAGTTCCCCAAAGCACTACTATTTCATATTTCAGATCAGATGATGATGGATGGATGGCCAGATGGAAGGAAGGAATCAGAAGCCCAGGATTTAAAAACGTGATTGCCTAAGTTAGGCTGCTAAAACAATGACCTTATTTTCGAGTTATGAATCATTGCTAGTCTTACTGAATTTTACTCCTAAGACTTTTCTGCAAACTCACTAAAATGAATTTAAGTCACCTACTTTCAGAAACTAGACAATAACTTAAAGTTGCATTGTCCCTTTCCATAATGAAGTGAACTGAACCCTGGATTTTATTTTTGCTATAGACAGCTATCTATGCTGTAATTTATTTTCCTTTAATTAAATGGCTGGATCTTTCTAAGTTAAAGAACACTGTTAGGACCCTATACCTTAAAAATGATGGAAACAAGGAGAAAGACTGTTTCTAACATCTGTAGCTCTGCTCGTGTGCATCTCCATATCACTTGCCTGAACTCACGATAACATCACCAGCATGGCAATCACTTCCATATACCCCTCCTACCAACTAGAACTTTACAAGAACTTAAGTCACTTAGCTTTAAAAAGCACAACAGAAAAAATAAAGAGGGTCTTATACTATGTCCTGAAGGTAAAGTTCGTATAAATTGGACCTGTCGGCAGAGGCTGATCTCACCTGTCAAGGTGGCACACAGGAAACAAAAGACAAGTCTCAGAACAGAGACTTATTGGATGTTATAGACCAAAATGAACGTGCTTGAATTGCAAATCAGAAGCCAGAGCAGCCAACAGAGAACAGTTGGAGCTACGTAAGCCTCATGTGTCTCATACAACTAATTAAACATTCATCCTCATTTTATTACTGGCTGGTGCTCACGTAAGCTCCTCAGTTTGGCCCCATTTAGAGAAAGCGGTTGCAATTCAGTTTGGGATGGAGGCGGCATCAGTGTATGCAATGAGAACCTGCAACAGTTAATAAATGCTCTAATCTCCTAGCTAAACAAAGATAGTGAAGGATCTCTTTGCCACAGCCATTACTTGAGACTTGAGCAATTGGGAATTCAAAAGCACATCTAGACGGCCGAACTCATTATGAAACAGCAGACACGCTGCTTCAGCTGAGGGATCGCACGCGGCACCAGCTAGATCTCTCAAGTTATCCTCATCAGCCAATTTCACCTGTCTCGTGCTGCAGGAGCACTGCCAGCTTCCCCCTCGAATAGTCTGGCTCCAGAAAGGCACAGCATTTACCACTTAGCCTTGTGACAGAGAGAGTGTTACAAAGCTGAGCATCACCCCACCAAATGACATTGCTTCTTAAAATACACCGCTACTCCCTCTGCCGAGCTCTTCCCTGTTCATAGACCAGTCACGCCGGACTTGAAAGAAATGTACGGATAAGCAATCGGTAACGCCAGGCTGACATCCTACAAAAAGTCATGTCGCTGCGTGATGCCTTATGTCTGACTGGTATTAAAATGCGTCAGCTGAAAGGGCCAGAACAGTCATCGAAATTAGTTTTCTATATGGCCTGGAAAAGGCCATTACCAACCATTATGGAAATCCAGTTTCTGTATCTGTCCCATACCTGTAACCATAGTGAGTGAGCTCAAAGGAAGAAAGCAAATGTTAAATGGCGACAGAACAGCATTGTTGTTATTTTGAGTTAAAATTAGTTATCCCAGAAAGGGTGTTTGAGGATTAATGTTTTCACAGTACTCTGCAAATGCAAGGACTTAGGAGTTATAGATTATGATAAAAATACTCACAATGTTCTTCATGTGTTTCAACATTATGGTCAGACGAGTGCTCTCGTAGGATATGAGTAATTGTACTCCAGGCTTATGATCAGTTGACTGAGGACCTAAAAAAGGCCAGATAGTTTGATTTTTAGTTAACAGCTCAGTGGAGGTACCTCTGTAAAGTATTGCAGTACACTTGAACTAATATATAAAAAGAACCTATTGCACGCTTAAATCAGGGATGAAATTAGAAAACACAGATAAGGAGTGTGATAGAAGAAAGTGGTCTGATATGCAGTGCTCATTTTCTTTCCTGTTTATACACTGACAGTGAGATTTTTTGTTTGCTAATTGCCATCAATCTGAATTTCAGTGGGAAATTTATGCTTGAGTAACAAATAATTGGGGGTTTTTTTTGGCAATCATTGATGACACTAGTCAGTCAGTATTGTTGCAATTCTTCTGTCTGGTTAAAAACATTGATTTTTTTTTTTCAGTTCCCAGCAGAAAGAAAAAAAAAAAAGAAAAAAAAGAGCAAGTTTCCAGACCTGTTCCAAAACAACTGTTACAGAAACAACATCTATATCTGTCATATATAAATTCTCCCTTCCTCATTCTGTATTCTTCCCGTTCCAGGCTGGTTTTCATGCAAGCCATTTCTTTCATAGATTTTTCTACTAAGATGCATTTACAGAGTTTGATTCCATTTCCACTGAAAAAAACCCATTTTTCAGTTTCCAGGCAAGAAGGATCAGTCTCATAATGTGGAAGAAATGACTAAGCATATCCTGTTCCTTCTTTCTGCTGGAGGCATTGAGCCAGCTGTCTTCACTGCCAAAAAGGTGTGTCCTTGAAGTTGGGTAAGTAATGTGGCTTACCTGCCCCCCAGAGACAGCAGAGAAAATACAGACGGCTTTTACCACGGTATACCAGGTGAACACAACCTCCGCTCAGTATCTATCCGACCTTCTCATTTTGCAGCGTTAAGCCTAAGCAGGGCGGTCATGAGCCATTTTGCACTACTTGGTCTGAGACCTGGGGTTCTCCCCTCGCGGTCATCATCAAAGACAGTCCTAACACTGCCTGTGTGAACTAGCCTGGTTTTACTTGTGCAACAGGGCTTCACGTAATTAGACCAAAGCTGTACTACAATCAGTATTATATGTGTACTATACTTGGAAAAAGAAGAACTCAGTTCTGCTAACCTTACAACAAAATAGCGCTCTCTCCTGAGCTGGGCTCTGTTCTCCCCGCCTCCCTGTTAAAGAAGTAGCTGACCTTGGCACTCGGACAGGAAAGTCCTGCTCCCCTGCAAGCACGCTGGGATCTGCCACCGACACACCAGCCTTAAACCCACCGCGGGGTGACATAATGACAAAACAATATAGTCACAATTCATTCTTTAAATAGAAACGTCTCTTTTAAGAAGCGGAAGGAATGAGAAAGGGTGATGAGATTGAAAGCACTACCATCACACGCGAGGGTTATGCACTAGCAAGAAGAGGCTTTTTAGAGAGTATCAGGACTGCTCATCCTCAATAGCAGGCAGGATTCCCACATCTTCTTTTCAGCCTCAGCAGACACCTGTGCACTCTGTCGCACTCTTGCTCTCTCTTTTCCACGTGTGCACCGGAGCTCTTACAGCCAGGGTTGTAAAAGCAAGAAATCAAACTCCCTCTACTCAGCCTTTACGCTGCTGCTCAGCAGAGGAGGCAGCAGAGGGGAAGTTATAATGAATAAGCCATATTGGCTGTGTTTTTCTGAAGAACCCAAATGTGTAACCTCTGGAGTGAACAGAGGCTAAAATAACCACTAAGCAGATAGAATTACAGTAGTGTCATGTACTACTGACAGCCAGAGAGCTAGTGCAATTGCCATTTATCCTAAGGAAAGGAATTCAAATGAATTAAAAATAACACAGTGTGTACGTACAACTGCCATAATATAATTCTTCCAGGCAGCCTGGATATCAACACTTCTGAGATTCTGATGTTTGGGCTGGAATTTTAGAATATGAATCCATCTCCCATTTCTTCCCTTTAGAGACTAAAAGAATACATTTTTAATCACACCCTAATTAGAGAAGGGCCTGAAACTGACTCCTGAAGAATTGAAATCTTATGAAGAAATCACTAAGCCGGGACTTAGAAGACCGAGGTGCAGTTCTTCATTTGTTATTCTCCTTAATGAACTTTAACAAATCATTTAGCCAGACTATACCTTATTTCATTTCTTGTTGTATGCAAATAAGGACAGGGGATGAATACTCCATGAACCAGTCAATGCTGAGTTCTTTCCAGGGTAACAAAAAGCCCACAAAAATCGGTTCTTCCCCCCGCAACACAAAGCCACTTTACCATATGTTTTTTTTATGTTGTGGGGCCTTTTTCTTTATGTTGCAACAGGGAAGGTAGAATCCTAGAGCATTAAAGACAGTGTAATACAAGGGGAGTTGTGTTTTAACATAAGGGCACAATTTACTTGTGGGGCTCTGTTAATTTTGTGAATTGTAGTGGGTCATCCTGAGTGGTTCAGCAAGAGCAACAAAATTCAGAGGCTAAATTACATTACTAGAATTCAGCTGAACACAGTGCCTTTTCTCTCCTACCAGCATTACCGGGGCTTTTTTCTGCATTACTTTTACAGTGTGAGTGCTTATATTGAGTCGAGGAATTTCTCTGTGGGAGTTGGCATTTTCATTTATAAAAACCCAAATGTAAATAAGTTTCTAACCAAGCTGAAAATAATGAAAAACATGGGAGAGGAAACTGCATTTCTAATTGAGTATGTAAAATGAAGTCTGAAACAGACACTATGGGCACAGCTATTACTAAAATATTTGCTCTTACTATGTAATAAATTGAGCAGTAATGGAAAAAATCAAAAAAAATAAAAGGAAAGTAAAGAAAAAAAACAACAGTGCAGGGAATCTGATAAACAAGGAAGAAACTTCTATCGCTTGTATTACATAACCAAAGGCAGTTACCGTTAGCTACACTCAGCTGTTATATTTTAGGTTTTCCCAGATTCAGTGCTAAATCATAGTCTCTTTGAAGTCTAAGAGATTTTAGCTTCAAATTATAATAAAATACACATACAGTAATTACTTCCAGTTTATCCAGGTTGGGCAGATGGACTTGAGCTCAGGCCCTGCATTTCTAGGAACTGTCATGCTCTACTTGCACTCTGTTATAGGCAAAGACCAAATGCTGTCTGTTGTAGATACAGGACAAAGCTCCACTGACTTCAGCTGAAGCAAGATTTCCCTCCCAGGGATTGATTCTTTGTTCACTGGCGTCAATGCAAAAGCTGTCAAATACCAAACGAGGACCCTGGAGTGCTCGTAGTGTTTTTCTATATGACTTGTGCCTGCGTGTCCCAGCACTCTGCAGTGGAAGTCAGCCACCAATCCCCTTTTGCAGAAAAACAAACAGTGCCAGTTTATAATCTCTTTCATCAAGGACAATAACACTAGAAAACTGTGGGCCCTTTTTTCTTTTTGAATGAAAAAATTAAGGCAATTAGCATTCAAATTTCTACCGAAGGTGGAATGATCTTCAGAGTAGTCAAGTATGCAGTTCTTTTCTTTATCTAGATTGTCTTTTCTAGCATGTCGGAGAACTACCAGCTCTATATTCTGTCATTTGTGCAATGTTTTCATCAGCAGCATTTTAAAACAAGCTCTGCATTACGCTTTGCACAATGTGTGAGAAATATAAACAGCAAGGAAGATGGTACACAGAAGACTGACAAAATCAATAGGGGCAACTATAATTTAATAATACATTGCATTTCACACCTGGACTGCAAAGCAATGTGAAAACACTAATTAACTGTCACAGCACTACCATTAGGGAGTTAAGAATTATTCTGTGTTCCGCACCCTCAGATTTTTCTTAGACCTTTCTTCTTGTTGACAGCCTGTTTTGACATTTGGCACCAAAGGGTACTGGAACCTGTTTGGTTTTCCAGGGCCAGGGTTGAACGCCCCAAGCCAACCATCTGCCTGCTTTAGCTACAGCTTGGGTTTATGAGCCTCCAATGTACCCAAACGCAGATAGTCAGCTGTAAATACGTTAACTGACTATCTCACTGGTTTCATCCCACAAGCCAGCAAGAGGTGCTTATGGCCAGCAAAACAGCCTAAGTGCAACTAAAGCAGGAATGCAACTTGTGGCAAAAGCTTTACATTGAGAATGAGCAACTGCAGCAGATCTAAACGCTATGTAACATGAGCAAAATAGTCTACTCTTCTCAGGGACTATTCATGAGGACTGCAATTCTGCATGGAGAAGCATACCATATGATAGGCTTTTTGGAAAGCTTGGATCTTCCTTTAGAAGGTCACAGAGCCAGTTTCTCTGCCTCACTAAATGGACAGAAGCCCATTGAAATGCATGGAGCACTAATCAAATTAAACATGCTAGAACTAGCCCTGGGTTGTGCACTGTTATAACCAATAGCAAAGACTTTGTGATTTCATAACTTTGGCAAAACAGTCTGAATTATTAATATTTTCAGGAGATATAAACTCAAGAGAAGAAAAATAAACAAGATTGATATAAAAATATTTTTGATAGATGTTCTTTCTTCCTTTTTTTAAAGGGCCTTTATAAAAAGCTGTCTGTGAAATCATTCCTGATATCTGCTCTCACTCCCTTGTACTGAGCTTGGTATAATGAAATGCTGACAATATTCAGTATAATTCAGAATTCACCCCACTGGGACTACTGAATCAGTATTCATGTCAAAGTAAATTTAGCACTGATTTTTAATCTCTTCATTGCTAGGAGCACAGTACGAATTCATAAATTTTAATTTTTATTTTACTTTAGTAAGTGTAATTACCTACAACACTTATAAATTAAAGCAGTCTAAGAGAAAGATGCTGTCTTGATCAAAATTCATAACCTGCTTCTATTGGGCATTCATTTTATTTTATATTGATCCTAACTAAGAGAAAGATGATTTGCTTGTGTAAAGGCTGAGAGAGAAAGCACCAGATTCATGGAAAGCTACAGCCCATATTAAACCTGAGTTATTCTTCAAAACAGGTGAAAGTTAAGGCCCTTATGAACTCATAAAACAATAAAAGCTGTGGGGGAAGGATGTATTCTTTTCATGGAAATTGCCTTTCTCCTGCAGGCTCAGTGAACTTAATTCCTGCCCCAGACTGACTATAGCATTACCACAGGGCTTACTTTCAAATCAAGAGTGTTTCAGGGCACCCTCAGCAAGCAACAGCCTCCAGGGCCACCGTGCTCTTCCCAGCAACTCCTTGTTTGCTAGCTGGCAGCTTGGCATGATCAGCCACCTCCTGCCTGAGCTACACTTGTGTCTTCTCCTTCTCACAGGATAGATGATAATAAAGTGCAGAATGCCATGCAGCAAAAAAATCTAAGTGAGCTAGGTAGGGTATGGCAGCAGCCTAACTCCAACAACGAGGGGCAAAGCATAGACTAACATATATGAAAATAGTTTTCCAGGTGGGTAATTAGCACGTGCATGGCTGGTCTTTCTCTGATAGCTGAGTTAGCTCATTTACAGCTAAGCTCACCTACTTCCCCAGTTCATTGCAATCGACTGTCATCCAGGTGCATTCCCTTCCCTGCTGACAAGAAGTGGTGCCATACCCAGAGCGACTCAGCCCATTATTCTTGTTCTCTGTTTTTACAGAGTCTAAACTCTTTGGGTCCTAATTTGGACCTTGTGTGCTACTGGCATTCCATCAATAAATGAGAGTCATGAATTTTCTAGGCCAAAGGGAGGTGGGGTTTTTTTGTTTGGGTTTGGTTGGGTTTTTTTTCCTCCTGTGCTTAACAAAGGTTTTGCCCTGAGTCTAGAACTGAAGTGTCCAAACTTTAAAAGGCAGAGTTCCTGAGCAGGAAAAAATGAATCCCTCTGTAACCATAATGCTTGAGGCTAGAGACACATTAATCTCCTCTGACCACGTTGTGACCTTCACCTCCACTAACTATATAGTGAACCAACAGATTGGGTTACCTGTCACACAGCTTTCATCAAACACCCACCAAACACATTCTTACCTCTGTTTCTTTATTCTCTTCTCTGTTTTTGATGACATTGACAACAAAAATAAAGGGCTTACCCTTCACACTATATTGGCTCAGGACACCACTGTAGGAATTATGAGACTAATTTATTTCTCAGCTTTACTACAGACTCAGTTCATACTTATGCATAAGACTTTTACACCCAGATTCTCTGTAATAATTAGGCACCTAAATATTAGTGAAATGTCAAAATCCTTCTAAAGACCTGGGACTTTAACTCCTTTATGCCTCAGCTCACTCTCACACATCTGCATCTTTGGTTAAGATGCCTACAGAGCAAGGCAGCCCACAGATCCAGAGTACATGTTACATTTGAACTCTGGTTTGGATTTTCTGTGATAAGATTTAGCCTTGGATATTCCTAACACCTAGGACATCTTTGCATTATCTCCTCATTCCTTTGTAAAAGTTAGAGCAACCATTAGTAATTTCCAATAGTCATAATGGATTTAATATGATAATGGCATGCCCTAATCAAATAAACTCTACACAGGGGGAATCTTCCAAAGGCTGAGAAGCCAGGAATGGGATTTATCTTGTTCTGATGGATTAAAAAAAATGGTCCCGGTAAAAGAGATAATGAAGCCTCTGTCTGCAGAGAGATTAAATTAATTTAATGGACATGCAAACTAAGTATGCAGAGATACTTCCACTCCTTTCTGAAATGTGGATAACTGGTGATCTTGGAAACTATCCTATCACTTGGAGCACATAACCAGCTGAATTGTTGTGGTGCAGAGTGCAGCTGCAGGCTTCCTCATGAGATTTTATTTTGCCTAAAAACTGACTATGGAAGATTATTTTCAGTGCAGAACCAGTGCAGTCGAAGACAATAAACATTCACAGTTTACATTTTATGGTTTATACTTTGGCTCTTAATGCTGTAATACCAGAGATTAGATTAAATTAGGTGCTGGACAGAAGAGGGAAATGTGTTAAGTATTTAGATAGGCTAAGGGAACAATGCAGAATCTCATTTAGTAAGAAGTGAATTACCACTCACTATCATTAATAATGTATGCCTGGGCATTAACATAATGTTCTGTTATTTACCTGCTCCACTCATTGTGAAAATGACTTTAGAAGTCATCCCTAATTTTCTTCGCTTGTTCAAGCACACTTTGTGCTTTGTCATGACTCAGATCCTTTCCTGCAGATTCTTCTCTAAAGATTTTGTTTTGTAAAACAAGAAACCTGCCACAGTTTGTGTAAATAAACTTTTACTTTGCATATAGGTATGTTTATTCAAAAAGAAATGAAAGAAGGCTGAGGAAAATATGTCAAAGTGAAAGAAAACTACAGGTCACATTACTAACACATTTTCAGAGACCTTGAGAAATCAGGAATTATTTGTTGGTATCTTTATATCTTAAAAAAAAAAAAGCCACCTAAACACTTTAGACTCACCTTTGCACTATTATATTTAATATTATTAAAGAAGTCCTTCTTCAAAAACAAATAAGATTGATAATTCACGTACCTAAGGTCACGGATGATGAATCTTCTGCCAGGGTATTTTTGGACCAATTCAGGAAGAAGCTGAGTACAAGCTCATTCTGAAAGAAAATAAAAATACTTTAGGGACTATTGTATGTTGTGCGCTGTTCCTTAAATTATGCCCCTCCGAGCAGACCGCTGGTAGGTTTCTAACGCATGTATTGGAGTTAGCAAAAAAGGGGCGCTTTTCCCCTCTGATCATGGGCAAGGACCCCAGGGAATGATTTCTACTCAGGCTCTGGGAAGACAGCGGTGCCCCTTACCACTGGCTCTGGGATGCCGCCTTAGTGCCTACCTGGCCCCTTTCTGTCAACACGCTTCCAAACAGCAATGTGCCACGTGGGCCACAGATTTGCATTCTTGCTTGATCTCCAGTGTCTCGAGATATGTATTAGCAGCTGCAACTACTTTTACAGAGCAGCCCATCTGTGAAACAAATGCAGGACAACATCTTTACTGGGTATTGCGTAGTCAGCATGAAATTCGCCCTTGGCACAGGACCGACCCCAAGCATCGGACCTAATGTGTGCCTCCGTGAGGCTCAGATATTGTGCACACCTCCCTCACATGGCGGCTTAACGGACACTCACACTGCAAAGCTCCACACAGTTAACTCCTACCAGAAACCAACGGGGGGTGAAAGGGACGATCATATTTCGCCATCCTGTTTAAAAGAGTAATCCACCTTATGTACTGCACTATAACTTTTGTTTTTATGTACTGACCTGTACTGCTCTAGTGTACATATATAACAGGTAGTTACGTTCAGCTGTAGAGAATTAAAACAATAAACCAAATCCCCAGATTTGAGTATTGTGCAAGGCAATAAAAATGTGAATTCTGAAATGGACTCTTATGATTCTGAATCAAAGGTGGACAGTAACTGCATTTTATTAGCTTTTACATAAAGCTGTATTTCAGAATGGCCATTCTTTGAGACGGTTAGAATTGCCACATTCATACTGATGTTACTTGTACTGACACTGTAATGAATGGGTAGAACAAGAGACTTTTCAAATTCTAGCATTAAAATGTCACCATTGTTTTTTTCCAGGCCATGGAAAATAATGTGTCCCTTATCAGCAAGACGTACTTCATGTAGCATTTGTCTTGTTTCAATTTGACAAGATGTGGCATGATTTGTGCAAGGAAAAAAGAAAAGGCAGGGTTTAGTGACAAATGCAGATAGTAAGGAGTTAACATGTGGTTACAACAGACAGAGGAACAAGATGTGTATGTTCAGCATAGAGATAAGATTTAGCAATCTGGATTTATTTTAGCAGTTGCCTTTTATTTTTCATTCTACTCGGGAGTTTTTCCTCCCACACTGATATTTTCTTTAAAAGAAAAATCAGGAAAAAAAAAAAGGATAAACCAACAGAATTATTTTCCTTGAATAGAATGACAAATCCTTAAGGTATTAGCAGTGGACTTCCAATACATCTATCTGTTCTGAGCATGACTAATTATTCTCTCATCTCATGAAGACAGCTTACAGGGGAAAGCCTGTACACCTGCTTCAGCTTTCAGTAGCTTTAAACAGCAGAGTTATTCCCTGTGGGACCTCCATTTGCTCTTTCAGCACAAGCCCCAAGTGTAGGAAATCTCAATGGGTTGAAAGAGTGTATTTTGGCAGCTCAGCCTTTATTTGACAGCATAAATAAGCAGAGAAACTTAAGTAGCCCTTCAAGTTCAAAGATCTTGAGAGAAGTGGGCAGGAATGGAAGGAAGGATATACTAACTGACTTGAAAGAGAAATAAAAAATTCCACACTGAGCAGCCTGGTGTTCTGCTTCCTCTCCACTTACTCTTTCTGCAATAAATGGAAATATATGAACAGAATGGTTTGTAAACAGGAGGTGCAATAATTGTTTCAGGCGATAGTTCCAAATTCTCATTTCTAAAGGAGACAACATTGAAAAAAAATGACATTTGGTTTAAGTACAGAAGTGGAATTTGTGCAGAGCTTACATCAGGCATGAACACGACAGGCAGGTACACTGCTGGTGCCACAGCACTGATTACAAACCTTTCCCTGTCCATGTGTCCGTTGTACTCAACAGGTATTGAAGCATGTGGGGAAGCAGCAAGGCTCATACTGGCAAATGGAATGCAAAACCATAACTGAACAGGTCATATTGCAGGGGCAGAGGTAGCAGTCTATCCAGGGCAAAGTACATCAAAAGCATTGGAGAGATCTCCTATGTGTTTGTGGCAATAAGCATTTTGCAGACTGTTATTCATAAGACAGCGATTTCTCCCTGAACTGTGTTAATCTGCCTACTGCAGGAGTCCACCATTTAGATTTCCACCAGCAAAGTGCATTAAGCACCTTCTCAAGTTCACCCTTTGTCAGCAGACCACCAAAGCACATGCTGAACTTTCAGGTGATTCCTAAATCAATGGGACTTCAATCAGTTGGACTCCAGTCAGTGGGACTGAAGTGTATGCTTAGAGTCAAGCATGCATCTAATTACACTGCTAAATGGAAACAGGCACATCGGAGCTTTGAACATATGTATAATCAAAAGCACACTGTATTTCGGTGGATAGAGTCCACTTCTAAACAAGCAATTATTACAAATATGTGACCATAGGTGGGAATCTTAGAGACCCTGTGACAGTCTTGGCAGATAGGCAGGCACTGAGGATGACCACAATCACTCACCTCCCCTTTTTTCCTCTGGAATTCTTTAAATAGGTAAATGAAAATTCCCTAAAATACTGCCCATTTAGGGATTTTTAGGAAAGCCACCTATCATTTGTCTAACCATTCTTACCTAATAAGACAACAATCTTTAATAGGTAATGTTGATATTTTTTCAGGTCACTCAATAACATTAGCCTATTGGGGAGCAGCCAGGTATGTATGGGTGCATCAGCGTTGGTCTGGCTAGAACTCACGCATGACTTTTTTCCAGCCATTAATCTCAAAAGGGACAAATTCCACCTTCACTTACACTAGGATACAACTGAAATAAGTAATTCCAGTGACACTGGGGGAGCTGGCAGAGCCCTGCACCACTGTAGCACAGTACAATTTGTCTACTGCTTTCCATCAGAGACTAACTAGAAAAGCACTCTGCTGTTAGATAAACACAGCCAGATTTAATTTCATTAAAAAGAAAAGCAGCCTCTCCTCTGCTTTCAGCTTTCTTTTCAGCTGTGTTAGAGTAGATTTGGGGTCAGAGAACACCCATGCACCTGTTATACTTTAACAGGATGGAGAATCAGCAGGAAAGAAAAAAAGCCAGAAAAAGCTGACCTTGCTGCAGCTATCATAACTTCAGGAAAGGACAGCAGAAAAGAAAGGACTTTGAACGCTCCTCATTTTGGCTCCGCTGGATGCCTTGCTGCAGCAGTATGGGAGTGGTGGGAGTTTAAGGGACCCACATACCTCAGGTGCACTTTGTACCACTGCGTTATGTACCTCCATACAGGCACTGTGGGAGCTATTTTCTCACCTCTGCAAATCCCAAGTAGCGCCAGTGAATAAAATACAAATGAAATATGGGAAGCTCTTATCAAACTTGATTATTTTTATAGTGTAAAACATTAGTCACTCTAGAACAACACTGTGGTCCTGGTTTTCACTGTATGCTTCAAAATGAGTGAATGTAATTTACAATCTTTTCCATTTACATCCTCTTTAAAGCCCTTTTACACAGCCTGTAAGTCACCATAAAGCTGTTTATAAAACCTATCCATTGCTGATACACTGTCACTGTTTGCTTACCTGTTTGCACCAGGTTTATCTTTTGCCCCAAAGTCCCTAGTTAATTTGGATACTTAGAAAATTTTTATGGAGCCAAACCCCAACATGCTTCATTTCTTTTTACTGATTAGCCTACAGTGCACCTGCACTTACTATTATGTTTGCCACCCCCCTCCATCATGATAAACAAGCTCCCTCAAACATCCAAGCCCACTGAACTTGTACACAAAATCAATCTATGTGAAAGATGCGGGACAAATAACATGTTTATTTAAGGCTGTGTAGTATTGCGAGATCAGTAAATACATCTAGTGTCTGAGCTGTGTTATCAATAACAGTATCCACAAATTAAATGCCACCTCTTTTAAATGATGAGAGATAGGACGATTATCCGTAGAATGCCACTAGCTGGCTGATAGTATCAAATGCACACAGCTGCTATATAAAACATTGCTTTAGGTTCAGTTTTAGATTTTTCACTTGTAATGCCCAAGCCAGGTGCAAGTTGTCTTTTCAAGATAAGCATGAAGACATTCAGCTTTGTGAATGCTGCTGTTTGACACCAGGGCTGAGGGCAGACTAAATTAATGGAGCCTTACCTTGCTTTTGTGTCCCCAGGGAGAGTACAACCCTCCTACAAATACAGCAGTAAAATGACAAGCCATGAGGGCACCCTTAATTTATATGATATGTTATGAGATTTGGACTGCAATATCCATTCAGCCCATCGCTCAGATGGAGTTGAGTGAAATACAGAAAAATGTAAAAGTGGTTAGCAGCAGCTGCCTTTTGTCACAGATTTGATTTATACTGTGATAATGTATATTTTGTCTTCTTCCACGTTACCAGCCTTCAATTTATTGTTTCTTGATGCTTCACCTCTTATTGGTGGCACCACTTGGTTGTTTTGCCATTTAATGAAGCAAAACTCCAGGACTCTAAACAATGTTGAGTATGTTGCATTGCTGATCTAGGAGACCCATGCATTTCAACGCATGCAGCTGATGAACTAGCCAGCAATGGTGCAACTGGCACAAAACTAAATATTCTTATGGTGTGATCGTATATATTGCCACTGGTTTGGGAGGAGTAGAAAGAAACTAATAAAGGTGCTAAAACCTGTTTTTGATCCTGTCCTAAATGACTCAATATGACAACGAAGGTGCATCAACTTTTCCATTTTAGTGACTGATTTAATGAATATAGCTTGTTGTTCATGTATATAGCCTGGTGGCGTAGTTACTTATAACTGAGTGTTAACCTGAATTTAGGAAAAGCACTATTCTAGGCAAGTCTTCAACAAAGGTCTATAAGGAAGTCAATGAATAAGGCTTATGCTCAAAGTAAACCACAGACTTAAAAAATGGGATGGGTGTGAGCATGTTTAAGCATTTAAATTGGCCCAACAGTAAATGTCTCCATCAGCTGATGTTTCTGCATTTATTGGATCTAATACTAAAATTCAGAGATAGAGAAAGGTGGCTTGAAGTTTCTATTCTTTAAAGAAGGGTTTAAAGAAACATTTAATTCCATTTGAGCTACAGTGCAAATGAGAAGGCAGCTATTTTCCACCTCTCCTCCTTTGTTCAAACCACTTAGCAGAAAAGGTCAGTGACATTCTGACTTACTCTTAATTATAACACAATTTTCACAAACAGAACTTAATCTGGACTAAAAAGCATGCACTTAAGTCATGACTGAGGAAGGAATTTGGATACAATTCAATGCTTTCTTTATTTCTAGGATTTTTAATTACTTAATTGGTAGAACCAAGCATGTAGACAGTTCTGTGCGGATGGGACTAAACTTTTCAGAGCTTAAACCGGTGTCTAGTCAATCAGGGTAATGTGTTTACAGTGATAGCAAGGGTATTTTGTAATGAAACAAAAGCTCTTTTCTCCATTTCAGACAATACTCCAGCATACTGTACAGCTACAATATAGCTACGATACCATACAGGTATGATTCAGCAGAAAAAAATGACTGTGTCAATAAAGTAAAGGGAACCCTGCTCTACAGGCATCTGCTCTTACAAGATTTCTTCACAAGTTTCTGAATTAATTATTTATTCCTACATAGTTTTACTATTTCATAAGAATGACAGTTTGGTAATCCCTGAGAACAGACAACTCACTAAATGGTTTTGGTCAGGCTTCCTAGCAATTTGAGCAAAAGGACAAATTTGACTGCAAAGTTGTCGAAGGCACAGACAAAATTATGTATTTATTTTTATCAAGAAAGCCTCCTAGCTTGGCTTTCTGCGCAGAGTAAAACCAAGAAGACACCATGACACTTTTAAAAGAGTCACAGCAAAGGGAAAAGTAAAAAAGAAGCCTTTGGCTGGGAACACAAAGGAAATTACCCACTGACTGGTCTCCTTGTTCTAAGTGGGTCAGAACACATCAGTATTTTCTAAATTTCTCACATCTCCCAGCAGGATAAGCATATTGAAGTAAAAATAATGATTCAATGTTTATAGACTATCAATAACTTTAAAGGTTATCATCTAGAATTGCAGGTTAGCTGCATGGTGGTAAGCAAGATGATTTCCTCCATGCAATACCACTTTACAGTTGGAAACAATCTGCTCATTACTCTGTTTATTATCGTGCCCTCCAAGTCTAGCACACCAGCAGCTGTGCAGCCCTCTTAGGTGCAAAATTGTTTGCTTCTCCTCATGGTTCAGCATTACAGACTGTACCAGACTGGAACGGTTTTCAGCAACTACATAGTCCAGCATGGCTGAATAGACCCACTGGCCTGGTTCAGAGCCCCCCCCAGTATGGGTCCCCAAGCAGATCTTTCCACAGTTCCCTCTGAATACCCTAGTCATGGTTGTGTCCCAGTGTCCCAGCAGCAGCGTGCTGGGAGAACTTACCCAGCTCCACGGGTGCGTGCTGCAGGGCCGTAAAGGGAGCAGAAGAAGCATTAGGAAGCCCATTGCAAGGCAGCATGCTCTGGCTGATTGCTAGCCCATTCACAGAGCAGGAGGGAGAAGAGAGCTTCTGTGCATGACCGGGAAATGTTTTTATTACTATCCCAGGGCTTTAAGCAGTCTAATTTTTCAGACATAGATTAGGCTTCTACACAGCAGTGCTTGGCCCAAATTGAAAATCCATGTACCTTACAGCAGCCCAGAGCACAGCAGAAGATACAGAGCTCTTCATTTCTAGGTCACTGGCTTATATCAGTTTTTCCTCAACTGTGACCAAAAGGCGCTAATGTAAAATAAACCCATGACCCTACCGTGAATGACAGAAATTGCATAACAATTAACCCCAACTTGTGCAGTTTATCTGGCAAGGTCAGTCAAGGGAACCAAACACCCAAGTCAGCTGTCTGTACCAAATTAAGTGTAACACAGATATTACTTGTCCTCTTTGGAAATCTTCTCAATTTCAACTCAGGGCACAGAATTTTTGTTCATATTAATAAGGAAACTCCTGTTTATTTTACATATAGACAATTTCCTCTTTAATCTCCATTACACAGTCACAGCTGGGAAAGATATATAGCTAGGCAGCAAACATTTTTCTCCTCCTGCAAGATGTTTGAAATTTTGGAGAAAAACCATCCTGTCATACCCTCTTTTGGCATCCTAGACTGTCTACGCTATTAAACTGAACTGGCCCCAGTTTGTGCTATGGTCCTGAGGCCATGGGACATGACATGGGTCACCTGGCAGAAGCCCAAGCTCTGCTAGAGAACGTGCCAACAGTGAAACAGCAGAGTCAACACAGGAGCTTGTGCCTTGGCTCCCTTGAATTTACTAGCCTCTATGTAAGCCTAGGATCTAATGTAAACCACTGGTTTTTCCTGTCTGACAGCTTTCTTGACAACGCCGGTTGCTGGAAGATGCTCCTTTCTCTCAGACCCCGGTGTCACTATCAGTAATTGACCATTCAATTTCCAAAGTGACACAGCATAATGATTTAACATTCTCCCAGGGTGCATGGAGCCTGTTAGTTGCTCTTAGCCCTGGCTTTTACGATGCTGAGCTGCAAAAGGCTTTGTCTTGGGCCAGACAATGAAGAGTCAGTGTTTGTTACTGTTTTAACTTTCCATTTTGAAACAGGAGAACATCAAATCTCAGAAAACAATAATGAATAAAAAAAAAGGCAAACCACCAATTTCAATGGACACAATGTATCATTCTGATAATATTGAAACATTCTGGTTTTGGTCTTATGTTTGCAAAACAATTTCTTCTACATGTTAACTAAATTTTGAAATGAAGAGTATTTCTGGGCTGAAAGAATGGAGCTTTTCATTTAAAAACTGTCAAAATCAGACTTTTCAATATTTCAAAACTTACTTCTTTTTTAGCCATTACATTCCTCAGAACCTACTCCTTACTGTCAAATATTCAGTAAATCATTACTTTTGGATGGCAGCAAAGGAAGGAAAGTGTTTTTTGAAAAATGCCCTGCCAGGTCTAATAAACTATTTTTCAGTCATTCTTGTCTTTGTCTTAAGTTCTGATAAATGTTACAATGGCTCCATCTCAAAATGGCTCCATTAGAAAATGCGTCATTTATGTCTTTTTTTTTTTTTTTTAATGAGGCCATGGAAAGCTTCCTGAATCTTTTGGTACAATGCTACTAAAAGTCATATGCAAATAAAATAAATACTGGAAGTGCTCACATTAGCCAGTTTCCTGGATCCACTTAATAGCTGCTTCAGATAGAGATTCAAATCCTTCACTCTTTTATGTTCAAGATCTGTAAAAGGTAAATGCCATGAGGGGGGAAACCTGCAAAAGAAGAATATTTGTAAGTACTTGTACTGGATTTGCTGGAGATGTTTCCAGCTCTACTTAACAGAAGAAAGTTACCACTTTCTAAGAGGTTTTGCAGGTAGGGGAAGGGTTGGGTACCGTGTCCAGAGGACTATTTACCTTCTGACTCTGGTGGTTCTAATAATTTGCTGATATTCTGTTTCATACTGTACCCCTTTTTCTGTCTAAATCATTAATTAAAAAACCAACCAACGAACCAACCAACCAAACAAAACCCTAAAAGGCACTTATTTTCATTTTATGTTATCTAAATACCTCTAAAAAAATTGGCCCTTTATGATCCCAGGAAAACACTACCCTTGCCTTCTTTTGCCCTGTGCAGAGCACAACAAATCTCAGCCCAGGGCTCATGCTATACAAACCCTTACCATAGAATATTGAATATCAAAGCCTTACAGCAACAACATGACATTTTATGAATATATCATTGCTTGCTTTTTTACTTCAGCTATTTAGAGTGTAGATAAGTTTTTCAGAGCAGGTCCCTGATCCCATATGTAATTTCAGGCACTAGTATAATAAAAGCAATGTACGAAAGCAAATGATCATCACAATAACAAAATCAATCCCAACCAAAGCAATAACAATAATAATAGTAATAGTAATGTTCTTGCTGAATTTTTATTAAGATGAATTTCATTTCATTTTAGTAAATAAACCACATATGCATAGAATGGCCTTATGTCAATTTTCAAATGCTTTGGTGATGGAAAATGTCAAACCCCCACATTTTTCTTACTTGAATTATCTTTGCGTTTTAGAGACAACGCACATTAGATCAGTCAAAAGGTTAGATTTTTAACAATACACATAATCAATTTATATTAACCTTGCCCTGACAAGGACTATTTCTCTCTCAGGTTGGAGGAGCATTAGAAAAGAGATCTGTGCTAAATTGCATGTAATGGGTTTTGTGATATGGATTGCTAATATTGGGATTCATAACAAATATTATGCTTCATATCCTCTAATCTATGTGATACAGAAAGGTAGAAGTTTTGATCTGGTTGTATTTCATGTTACACCACCACTGTAAATAGTTCACCATGTCTTGTTTACAAACCTATTTTTTTTCTGGTACCACCTTGTTTATCCAGTAGATCTCAAGAGATATCTGAAGGCTTCAGAGAAATCACTAAAGAGCCATCTAGCAGTGCAATACACTGAAAAGAGACTCTTGGCCAGCCTTTTGCAAGGCAACTGTGTAATACTGTGAGGAAAAACTCAGCACTGGTATAAATTAGTCTGCAATTAAACCAGCAAGGGGCCAGGATGATAGCAGCATATTGCACGTATGTATGACCTTTTGATTATTTTTGCCTATAGCACTGAAAGATCAGGGCTCAGTTAAGGTGCTGTACAAATGAATAGTAAGAGGTGATTCTTGCCTCACAAAATTACAGTAGTAGGACACATAATGAGGCGGGGGAAGTGATATAATCCAGGATCATGACATATATGAGCTGCACAGATAAAAATAGAGCCCAGGTCATTTGGCACACATAGATAGCCTGTGAATGTTCTGAGTTCCTCCAGTGCACAAAAAGGACTTCTTTCAAGAGATAGTATGGAGGATTTGTTTGGAAGCAGCTTAAAATTAATTAGGCTGTATAACACAAAGAGAGGACTCTGGCTGTAAAACATAGGCCCTCAGAAGATGCGTCCTAAGCACAGTGGCCAAACAGAGGACAGAGAAACTGCTGATTGATAGCACCAATAACTGCTGCACTGCAGAACAATATGAACCTTGTGGTAGTACTGAACACTTCTTTAAAAGGCCTTCATGTTTTTGCTGAATTGTGCCTATGGCTGAAACTAACTTTGCACTGGTGAACACACTTGTATTAGAAAAAGTTAACTTCCCAAGCTGATTTTGGACTTTGTATCTACCTTAAGTAGACCAGAAAAATGTAAACTTGCACCACGTGCAAACATCCTGCATAGCAGATTCCATTTCCTACTTATTAGCTTGAAGGATATTCTGTGTATAAATTACATCACTTAAATGCTTTGTTGGGTGAAAAGATTTTTGGTCTTTTAAAAAAAAATAATTAAACACAATTAATACTCTGTCTGAAACCAAACAAGAGGGAATGTACTAGAGTGCAAGGGCTTGCTTGAGGCAGCTGTGCTTTGACTTATAAATATGGGCTGAATGTTTACATGTCAATAGCAAAATTTCAGATGCTGAGGACTCTGAGCTTTTGCCATTAGTTTCTTGCAATATAGCCAGAATTTAGCACTTGTATGAAGCAGACTCATATTGCATTATTTCCTCCTAATGAGACATGAATATATACAATTTCATGAATCAATACAAAGCAGTAACCACGTCCTTTCTGTTAGCAGTTCCAATTATTCTAGTAATATTAGACATTTTACTTTTAAATCATACATTTTCAAACTGATTTTGTGGTTACATTATGGAACAAGACTGTTTCCTTCCTTTGAAGCATCTGGCACTAGCCAGCGCTGGAGCTTTGTAACACACAGGCAGACTAATGGTCTGATATGGTACGGCAGTTTCAGTGATAACTTCCTATAAAGAAATAATTAGGTTTTCATTATTAGAATAAAATCCAGAATACATGAAAAGCCTCAAACTGATGAAGTTCTGTTAGAAAACAAACCAAAACTTTAACATTAAAGAACATACATATAAAGAAACATCATAAAATTAATTACTTTAACGCAGTCTTGGGGAAAGATCATACAGTGACAGGTTACTGCTGGGACTGAATTATGACAATAAAGCTCTGGAGCTCTTAGGCACTGCCTCAGTATATCCTGATTAACCCACTGTGAGTTCTGGAACTTTCTTTTGCAGTGAAAATGTTGTAAGGGATTTTATTAAAAGTAGATTTATCTGAAAAATGGCTAGTACTATTTTTTAAATTCACTACAGGGTTTCTGAGGCCTATACATTTCTAAAGAAAAATATATTTTCCTTCAAAGGGCTCTGCTCACCACAGGAAAAAATCATAAATACGTATTTTATTTTACAACCTAATAGCATGCAAATATCTCCAAATCAAAACCACGATTCAAGCACTTTCAGTGTTTAGTAAAATTCTGATTCTTACCAACTGCTGCAAACCAGTTCATGTGACCCAGTCATAATGAGTCAAATTGCAGTCAATTAAAATCCCCTCAGGTAGGAGGAAGATTCTCTAGAATTAACTAACCTAAACCCATTTAACTGAATGCCTCTCACAAGCTTGGGGGAATATCAAATTTGGATCTGAAATTTGTGGACTTTATTTTTTTAAGTCAAAACCACTTTGTTTATGGCTATTTACCTCAGGTCAAACCTCAAAGAGCTTTCTGTTTTTCAAGCATATCACTTGAATCTCAGCTTGGCTCAAGTACACTGTTTGCCTTTTTGGCCAGCTTTACGTTTTGTTGTAGATTGAGCTTGAAGAGTGGTTTGTATCAGGTGAGTCAGTGTGGCTGTGTAAGAGAGGACTACTTTGTTCTCAATGGTGTATGCAGTATAATGTATATAATATTTGTAGAATACATAACTCCACTTGTCTTACCAAAGCCATGGACAATCATTACATAAGGCAAAGCTGTTTTATATAAGACAGAAATAAACCATGGGACTCACTGTCCCAGGAAACTGTGAAGAAATCAGATTCAGAATATGAAAAGCAGGAATAGACATGCACATGGATAAAAAGTAATATTCAGAATTATTGCAACTAATGATAGCATATTTTTCAAGAGATATTAAACTGAATGATGCAAAACACAACATATCAGTTTTGGGGGCCAGGATAGTACATAAGATTATTTTAGATTTCTCAGCTGGGGAGTATGTGCATCTTTTTGTAAAAAGGTTGATCACACCTGCCAGTGTCAGAGATGGGCTTGTTTCTGTTCTGACCCAGTGTGAACATTCCTACATTGCTTTAATATATGGATTTTGCTAAAAGTTTTGATCAGCGTCATGCAGAAAATAAAAACTATCAAAGGCCCTATCATGCCTTTAATGAAGTCAGTACCACTTACCCTTTGATTTCAGGAATAGCTGGGTCAGGCCCAAGCTGTTCCCCCCTTTTCCCATTAAAAAAGGAACAATAAAATATATAAAAGTTAGACTGTCACAATGCCCTATGATTCAGTTTCTTCTGGGGCTGAATAGAAGGCTTGATAGAACATGTTGCATTGCTTTTGCATTTCTAAAAATATGTCTGCCGTACATTTTCTCACATTTTTATCTGTGCACAGAGAGAGCCATTTAACAGCAGAATAACGTTCGCTAATATGCTGCCTTACTCTGGGAGGACATGTGATGGAAATTGCTTCTGGAGATGGCTGTGAAGTTCTGAGAACTGGTCGAATGATTTTTCCACAAAAGTGACCACATTGCAGGTTTGCACCACCTGGACTAGATATAGCTGTATTGGGGAAAAGGGAGAGGCAGAGAGAAATGATCAGAGAGGCACATTAAAAAAAAATGTAAAAGAGGAAATATAGGGTGATTTTAACAAAGAAAACCTTTTCTTTAATGTAGTGCCAAGTGCCAGAAAATTCAGTTTGTAATTTATAGTCTTTGCTGCACAGAAAGAGAAACTTGCCTGGATAGCATACAACTCAAACACTAAAAGATCACTGCAGTGTGTGAAAACTAATAATGCACCATTAAAGCATCATATAACAGCCTCCGATTTGTATTAGGCTTCCTAATTTTGTGCCATGCTTTCCTTCTGGATGCTTTAATTAGCTCTTGATTTATTTTTCACTATAGGGCATGAACTGTTCTCCTTAATGGCTCCCTGCTAATAGCTGTCTGCCTGGTGTTCTTTCTCTCGGGTAGCTCATTGCTTATGGCACTGTGTTCATCCTGTGGCACACACACATCGTCTATAAAGGAGGAGGGAGAGTATATAAGCTCACAGAAGAGTCGTTAAAGATCAAGGCAAATGAGGGCAAGCAAAGAACACAATGCATACGGAGACAGACTTTTTGTTGAACCCCAAAATGGTGGCTCTTGCGATTGACTTCTCTGCATCCAGCATCATCCATTCTTGGGGGATCGTCTCTGGAGCTGGAGGTTTTGCAGAGCCTGTCACTGACATCTGTACAAGTGTGTGGATCAAGTTATTGAGTTTAACAGGAAAGCACTCCAAACTTTCCTTGATTTTCCTGAAGAACAAACAAACAGAAGAGGCACTATTTATGCATCTGTTTTGTTTCCATTTCTTGATCCTTGGTTTCAGGGATGCAAGAACCAAAAAACCCCAAATCCTAAAACCTACCTCACATGAACATGTACCCACATACACACCAGTCACTGCTATCTGCAGCAATCCAGTATATCCAGCCCCTGAGCTCCACTGCTTAAAGGAGTGCTCTTGCCATAGCCTGTCTCATGGCTTACCTTGGGCTAGTTGTTCTTCATGAGCTGGATAACGTCAGCCTTCTTTCAGATGACAGACACAGACAGGATATTTCCATGTGTGTTTTGAGGAATTCCAGGGTAGAGCAACATGTGTTCTCTTCAACAGGTAGAGGAGACTGCCCTAGCACTTTCTTTTGGGTTATACTAACCTCACATGGACTTACATGTGTTTGCACAAGGCTCTTGCATTCTATTCATGATTTAGCTCTGCATGATGTGTTGCTAAATTCTCTACCCAATTCTTAAAAGCTCTATCCCTGTGGAGCTGCTTAAGATGAAAAAAAAAAAAGAAGTTTTCTCCCCCAAGCTCTCCCCATCTCATCCCTGTGCAAGGGGAGCCAGAACACACTTCTAATTTCCTAGAGTTCTAAGATCCTTCATCAGAAAAGACAAAATAGATAAAAAAATAACTAGATATACATGTAGATATGTACTGAAAACATGTGTTAGCATCAAAGTGAACTTAACTTGAGACATAACACTATAAGATAATCACTGATCTTTGAAGAGTAAGATGCAGTACTCATAAGAAAACACTTGCCCTCTTGAATTCACCTGCTGGTTAAGATCTATTTAACTTGTGATGCTATTTTTTTTCTATTTCCCTGCTTACTTCTACAGCTCTCTGAAGATATTCTGGATAGGTTCTCATGTTATAGAACAACCACCCATTAGTTTCAGGCCATATAGCAGCAAACCTCTACCAAATTGGCAGGGTTTTCTTCTTTTTTTTGTTTTGTTGCTTTTTTTTTTCCTTCCAGTTTTGGACTATGTCTAACTAGCTTATGGGGCTGACAATACCCTTAACCACCTTCATCATACCCTGTTCAAAGCTGAGCAAATGCTTCACCTGTCATTTTAAATTAAATTCTTATTCAGGGGTTTCTGTGAGCGGGTTGGATTGCATACTGCAATCAATTGAAATCAACTCCATTCATGGCATTAGCCTCATTTTCATGATCTCAGATGTTCTGGCAAAAGTCTGTAGCTTCATAGTTGCAACCATACCAAAAAGAACATTCTAGCTGCAGATAGCTCCCTGGCTCGCCCCCCCCAAACCGAAATTTCAATCAAAATACTGTGTGAATTTATCATACACCAATCAAGCATACTAAACCCAGGGAAGAAGACGTATATGTTTTTCTTAACATAATACAAGGAAAGGTACCTCTGAATTGATTCAGTTAATTATCTTAATTATTAATTACATTCTTCAGAAAGAAATACATACAGACTATTTAATAAATGACACAAATTAACACTCAAATGGAAAACAAGAAAACAAATCTCATTTCAAAGCATTAGTACAAAATCAATTCAGTGCTGATTAATTAGGTTGCATCTGTGGTGAACTTTTCTTTTTTAACTCCTATGTATTTAATTTAATGCATAGTTTAAACACTTCCTAAGTCACTGAGACATGATTTAGGTTATAGAATCTGTAACTGGGCCATATTATAGCAAAGCAGTTAGGGAATTTGCAATATTACTATGAGGCATATTAACTTTGCAGCTAAAACCAGTGCATTTTAACTCACACAAAGCAGGCTTCTGCTTATAAACTAGTATTAATTTAGACATCATCACTATGCAGAACAGCCGATACCAGAATACCACTATTTAAACAATTCAATATTTTAATGGGTTGTTATTCTTTCCATGTGTCCATTAAGCTTCTAAAATGCTTTTAACACCCAGATTGCTAATCACATACTTTAAACCTAAACAGAGGCTTTTGTTGTCATTGTTGCAGATTTTCCCTGTAAGTTATTTTAAATGATTACATTTAAAATAAAATAAAAACAGATGTATATGTTGCTTTCTCCCTCTCTCGATATTCTGTTTTCTCTTTATGCAGTCCTCTCTGTTAGAATAGAGAACATTAAGAAACCTTATGTCATGTTATCAACAACAGATTGAAAAGGCCTCTTTGCTATTCCGGTGACATCTCAGAGCGTGTCTTCACAGCAAGGTAGAACAACTCTGGTTACGGCTCTCTGCACTTTCTTTCAAGGGCAAACTGGCTAAAGGAAACCCTCTTTCCCACAGCCTCCCAAAAGCTGGTTCCTAACTATGTATAGAGCAGTAGGGTACATCAAACCCATGTGTCTTATCTTTTTTAATTTTGCAGTTTATTTTTGGCATGGATTAGTTCACTGACCCAGTTTATCACACTGTGGTATCTGTTTCCCCTTTCTGCTAGCATTTTAAAGTTCATGCTAAGGTTCAGTGGTGGAACTTTCTCCTTGAACTCTCCAAGATCTCCACACACTTTCTTTTCTCTACAGCCACAGTTAAGTTTAGCCATAGGCAAAGAAGTTGGTAAGGTCATGGGTATTCATTGCTGAGATCTTCTTGCTCCATGGGCCGTTATCATCTTTGCCTGTGCCTAAAGGTGACTCTGCCTTCACAAAGATGACAACAACTTTCTTGGTTATTTCAGAGCTCTGGTAGCCCAAGCTGCTTAGAGAATTAGTGCCTAATGGTCTATGGATGGAAAAACTGAAGTGACCTATACGAAGGGCATCAAAAGCACAGGATAATCAGAAGAAAACAGGAAACTGTCATTAACTAGAGTAACATTAATTGTGAATCACAATATTGCTAACACACAGTTTTCAGGCAGAAAAATGTGGTTTTTTCCACATGACAATATCCATTTACCACACAGATTGGTGTCTGACCTACTTCTCAGAAAAGTGAATTAAGCATCCGGGATTATTGAAAAGTAATGACTTTCTGCTTTCCACCTGCTGAACTGGCTTTGAATTTCAGATTTGGCTCACAGTCTTTCTACAGAACTGTCAAATTATGGTATCAGGTAAAACATGCACAGACTGGTTGGCTGCTTGTGTAAACAGAGATGGATGAAAAGATTAGCTAATGTCTTCAAGAGTGACTAGTGATAGTTGGTGCCTTGATTTTTAGGAAGTAGACGTTTCTTATGGGACAGGTATTCTGAGGGCTGGTGCTTAGATCTTTTTGGACACAACAGCCTTTCTCCACAGCCTTTTAAGAGCACATACACTCATTATTACTGACTAGTTATCCAGATCTTAGTCTTAGTATATATAATAACAAATATTCACCTCAAACTTCAGAATAATTTTATCATTCTTGATGGCATTCTGCTTCTCATTTCCATATAGGCCTGGAAATAACTTACAGCATAATGAGCAAAATTTATTTTCATGGGATTCTCAGATGTTAACAAACATGGTGCTTCATTTATATCCAAATTTTCCATCCATGAATTTATCAGGCTCCATTTTAAAACAAGTTGTGTAGTATGCCCGCAGCACCTCTTAACAGACTTTTCCAGAATATTACTGCTTTCAGAGATGTACCTTTTCTAATTTTTAGCAGCATTTATTCATGGACAGTTGAAATTTTTTTGTGTGTACAGCAGTAATAACCGTTCAGTTTAATACCTATATATGTGATAGTATACAGGCAATCATATTCTTTTTTCCCCTGATTTTGCTAGGCTTTAAAATACACATTTACTTTCAGACTAATTCTGATCCCACAGGCTGAACACATCAGGTACTCTCCTGAAGTGCATCTTCCAGCCTAGTTTCCCTACCAGTCCTCCTATGCGCCTCTCCCAGGACAGAGAACATTCCTCTCCCCTGAGCTGGTGGCATGTGGGGTTTGTACAACAGTATGAATGCCTCAAACAACAGAAATTCAAGGAGGAAATCCACCTTCTGTTCCTTTGAAACACATATACCAGGATCTTTACAAGTAAACGCTTGAATGCCACTGAAAGAAACTTTAGTACTGTAGTTTTGTCTATGCCTTTTCAGAAGTCACCAGCTTTCACTGGTGTTTCAGCTGTTTGGGAGATTTCTTGCTGAAATCTCTGCAGCCACCTGAGAAAGAGGGATTGGCTGATCAGTTTGAGATTAGGAGTTACTGTGAACTGTCCAGTTTTGCAACTGCTGGCATTTGTGATTTGGAGTGGATATGCTTGACGTGGGCAATGACGGGTACCTAACAAATGATTCTGTTAATAAATAAGTAAAGGCAGCAGCTGACCCAAGCAGTATCCCCCTCAATCAGGCTGCTGAAGATATGCAATGGCACTTCCCTGGTAATTGTCAGATCCACTGTGCATCTCTTATTCATGGGTTTCTATGAGTGGGTTAGATTGCATACTGCAATCAATTGAAATCAACTCCATTCACTGCATTAGGCTAACTTTAATCCCTTAAAAATAATTTTAAATACACATTCCTTTACAGGCACATTAAAAATGTCAGGCAGCATGCCACACCGTGCTGACATTTGAAGACATCTGCAGAAAACCAAAGAGGAAATTTATATCCAGAGTTAAGACAGGTTTCCAGTTTCTGGTAAAACTGTGTTGTCAGGGGAAGAGGAAAGGAGGGAGGGGAAAGGATCAAATTGAGTTTCAAGGATCAAACTGAGTTCAGGGCAGATGCTGGAGAGACAACAATGTTTCATTTGGCACTAGGTGCACAGAACTGACAAGCAAACACAGAAACTCTTGTTTAACTCTCAATTGCTGCCTTGTTTATCCACGATCTGAGGGTGCGACCTTCCAGAAGGCTGTAAGCTGTGAGGCTTAACACTGAGGCTCATCAGCTCATAACAGTGAACTGACCCAATGTGAGAAGAATACAGTACACAAATGAGACCACTGATTGTTGAACATGTCTTAAATCAAGAATTAGAGCAAAGGAATTTGGTAAAAGGCAGAATGCTTTATGATCCTCAAAGGGGTCAGTATGTTACAGTCCAAACTCCAGTAGCATTATTCTGTTGGCTAAAAAGGTGATGGCAAAGAACAAATTAACATTGTTCTGCCAGGAATATTTGTGACATCGTTCATCATTTCATGTTGTTTTTAAACAATGGTAGAGTCAATGTCAGTATTATTGCTCAAACCAAACTCAGACAATTGCTAAAAGCAACCTATTTCTACAGAAATACAGAGAAATACTGTTCTCCTATTTCCACTAGCAGAAGATTGGGGTTTTCAGCAGATACATTATATGATTGAATCTGAAAGATTACAATAACTATCTTGTACTTACAACAAGAAATAACTTTCGGTTGGCAGTGTTTAACATTCCAATGACCACGCTCCTTGTCTAGAAAAGAACTTTTTAAAAACAATGAAGTGTTTTTGGAAGTAATTATGAAGAAAAAGGGAGCTACAAATTGTGAAGGATTTCAGAGCTACTGGAAGTTATGCTAATAATCAGAACTTTCAATTTCCTTGGCTTTCTAAGGACAGCTTGAAAAAATGATACAGGAATAAGCTGCAGAGTGACCATGAGAAGTGTGTAACTGGATTTCTTTCTCACCCAGACATTTTGTATAACAAGGAGGTAGGGAAGAATTTTCTGAAGGACAGGAATAAAGATGACGTAGGTAATGGAAAGCTCACAAAAATCTCAATATATTAACATTCCTGGGGGCAGGTAGCAAAATGCTTATACAGAGAGGTATATTCTGCATGGATATGGCTATTATACCATCCCAAAGTCTTTATTTTGAAAAGTGCCTGGATACACTTTTCAGAAGTTAAAATACTGCTAGACACAAAGCCTGATGTTCTACCCTTATTTAAACATGTAGAAATGTTAGTTAATACACGTGTTGAATTAACACAAATTATGTTCAAACATGAATAGAAATTAGAATAAAGCAAAAAAAACCCCAAACCTCCAGGAGAAATGAGATCCCTGGAAATTTATGAGCTAATGGCAAGAGACTTTCTTCTTGCAAATGAGCATATATAATACAAACATACCCTAAGAGTATTAAAGAACAAAATATGCACCCTAGCAATATCTGACTTTTCTATGTGATGTAATGATCTCTATGGACAATAACAAACCTATACTTCAGCATTTTGAAGGAAATTGGAACAATAGCTCCAGAGTTCACTAAAAACATTTTAGCAGAAAATACAGTTTCAAATAAGAACAGAGCCTGCAGCACTGGACAGATGGGCACCATGATGCCAAGCAGGACTTGAGTGGCTTTCCACTGTGAAGGCCTTCATTTCCTTAACACTAACCCTAACAAGAAATCTAATGGGAAGAAGGACATGCTGGCATCTGAGTCCTACCTATAGTCTCTCTGGGCTGAACAGGATTTCCTAACCCTAATACGAACATCTACCCAGCAACAAAGCGCACCAACTCTGCTTACTTCCAAACCAGTGTGGAGCCACATCTTCCTAGTGCCAGCTGTTCCACATGCTTTGGCTGAGAAAGACTGCAGGTGAACTCCCACTCTGAAGTCCCTCACTTCCTTCACCATAACCCTCAAAACACCATAACCACCTTGCCCACCTCCAAGAAACAGCATGGAGCTACAGCTCTGTCCTGAACCCAGCCTTCATCCTTTGTCTTCCAGCTGAGCAAGACTGCAGTGATATTAACCCTAACCATAACCTTAGTCCTACCCAGCTGAAAAGGATACTGATCCTTTCCACCCCCAGAAGAGTGCTGGGCACGAGCTCTGAACTTTGCATGACACTAATGCAATTTTCACTTGGAAGACTCACATTTCCCTATTTGTTATGTATAACCTAGCCTTTTTTCACTAGTTAAATGAATTGGTTTTTTTAACCCACAAGAGACAGACACAACCACCCAAACTCTTTGACAGAATCAAGACTTTTACAATTTAATTAGAAACTACATGTTTCCTATTTGAAGTGGAAATATAAGTCTGTAATTTGGGAATATATAAAATTTTAAAGGAAAGGATAAGGTAGGAGTTGACGGTAAATGTGAAGCAGTAATTAAATTTTAAAATAAAACAATCTTGCTAAAGGGCAAGAGTGAAAGCATATGAAAAAACAAGTGTTAAAAGAGAAGGAACTCAGTGCTCTGCTGTGTATAACGTAATGGAACAACAGTTTTGTTTGAGAAGTTCCTCTCTTTCTTTTCAAAGAAGGGTCTTCCTTAAACTTCTCTAGGTCTCCGTTCCAGCCTTCTCCAAACCTGCCGCCTCCGTTTCCAATTCTAATACACGAAGAGGAGACATATAAACAACATAATTCAGATTGCTCCAAATCTTCATATGGGCCTCTGTAATAGCAATGAGACTGGCTCAGCTGCTCCAGTTCAAGCTTTCACCTCATTTATTCATTGCAGTATGCCCTCTGGCTGTACTGAAGGGTAGGGGGATTGCTCTTGCCTCAAGGCAGTTTGCACCATGCAGAGAGCTGTGCTGCCTTATGGGAGTGTCCTTTAGGGCTCTGAATTTGAAAGGAGCCCTTCACTCAGAGTCCAGCGCTCTGAACTGGATACGTGCCCTGCACCTGCACCAGAGGAGGAGGTCAGAAGACTCTGGCTTGCTTTGCATGTGTACTTGGTGTCCAGGGTGCGTGAATTCATAGACTCCTTGGGAAATGATGGTGCTGCACAGGACAGGCTCTGAAAACGGAGATTTTTTCTCACACTGTGCCTAGAATGGGAAAGTAGGTTTCCAAATCCAGAGAGTCTCCACTGGCTCCATCTAGAGCATCATCACATCAACTGCTGGAATTACATGTAATGCAGAGGCCTGACCTGAAAGATCAGGACTGAGGCCTTCAAACTGATTTTATACACATCAGCTGTAGCTCCTCATCAATAATCCCGAGTTATTATCACAGGGTTTCATTACCCCAACACAAATCAAGCTTTAAACATACCTGTATTCACACACAATGCTTTTCTGGGACAGATCTGTTAAGTGCTTAAAAGGAAGTATCAGTACCATTTTGTAGATGGAAAAACTACGGCTAACAGAGGGAAAGTAACTTGCCTGAGACAACACAGAAAGTCAAAAGGAGAACAGAAAAGGGACTAAAATGCAGGAATTCCAGGTCCTCACTCAGTCCATTAACAAGTTGAACCTTTTTATGCAGTCCAAATCCTGTTGCATGTAGCTGTTGCATTTAAAAGCAGAGAGGAAAGCTGACTAGACGTAAGCCAGGATGGTTTCACCGTGAAAGCCAAAGAAATCTCTAGGCGCTGAATAAGTGACTTGTTACAAGTGTACCACAAATGCACAACTGTTTCTTCCAGAAATTTGAGGAGATTGGTTATAACACGCATAAGGGATGGACATTTTAAAAGTAAACACATGAAGACCAGTTATCCTTTCGTGTAATTTCACTGATTACAACCTCTTAACATAAAAGAAAAACTGCCTTTTTTTGTTTGTTTGGTTGTTTTTTTTGTTTGACAGCTTTGCTTCATGCCTGAAGGAGATAAATTTTCTGGATTATATTCTGGTTTTACCTTGTAAAGTAGCTTGTAGCCTGTAGGTCTGAGTCCTGAGGACGGAGGTTATCATACACATACTTCAGATCCTGGATGCTGTTTAGCTCGGGCAACCCTGCATGCAGCATCTTAAAGTAAAGACATATAATTAGTCCACTGTTCTATTGAAAAGAAATTTAAATTAAATGGGGCTAACTGAGAATAGAAAGGTTTTACTCCAAAAGATCTTCTTGTAAAACACAAAGGTCTGCTGATCTGAAAAGCGGTTCTGATGCTAGAGCAATGCCTGGAATACTAAAGTGAATATATTGCATTGTAAACCTTCACACTGAGGTACTGGAAAGAGGCATGGGCCAAAATCACCGATCCATTTTAGTTATTTATTTTCTCATCGGATATCATAACCTCAATATGTGCATTCCTAAGATTCCTTCACAGCCTTCCAATGGTGATAAAGGGAAGGCAACCAAATTCAGCCACCTGAACAATAGTAACCACGTTTCTGTTATGCTCACAGTGTTATCTTGGTCCTAATCCAATTTAGCGCAACATCACCTTCTCATTTGTAACTACTGATTTCACCATTACTGCTCTGGACTCCTCCTGCAAAGGGATCATAGATTCACTCCCTTTACAGTCAATGGAGCAGAAAAGTTTCTTTAGATGCCAAATCACAGCAGGAGCCCTGACTTAGGCACTGAGAACTGCCCTTTGAAGGGGGAATCATTCTCCATCAAAGAGGGATGGAGCTGTTCTAGTTACTTGGCCAAGTTAGGTTCAAGAGACAAATAATGCAAATATTCCCCTTGCAAAGTAACAACATGAGTAGGGTAGACAACTGAGTGCATCCAATTGCCCATACAGCTCTCTCCAGGCATTTTAAAATGTCAACAACAAAAATAATTTTTACTCACTTCAAAACCTACTGATTTTTCTCAACAATCACAGTAGAGCTGAAAGTGATGCTTTGTGTGTAATGGAGAAAAAAAATCACTCCTTCACATTGCTCAGAAGGAAATGTATCTGAATTTGCAGTCACCGCTGTGCATTTTCTTTACTCCTTCAAACCTTCTTAATATTTTTAAGTCAAATTTCAATATTTTGTATATTTTTTTTGTTTGGCATTATGAGGAAAACCTTGCTTCACATCAGACCCAATCTATACTACCACTGGACGGTTAGAATTCTGTCTCACAGAGTTCTGGCTAGCAAGGAGCAGAGAGGCAGAAAGCTCAATGAGATGAATTTAAGTGAGTTGAAAGCACGGACAATAACAACATTCAGCACTTAAGGACACACAGTGCTATTTATCTGTATGCCTTCAACCCATTTATAAAAGATGATAACAGCTCCTGTCTCCTTTAAAGAAAAAAAAAAAAAGTGTTGTTGCATAGGCAGATTAATCTTCTTGCCCTGCATTAGAAAAGGGAACAATATCAGATATGAACATAATCTTAATAATCTGTAGTGCAACTGAAAAACACGATTTTTTTAGGTTCTCTGCATTGTAGAAGGTGGAAAACCATTTGCTGAAGCAAAACAAAAGACTTTAGCTGGGCAGTACCTACACAGTGCTTTGCTGGCTGCAAGGGGGTCCTAGAGGCTTATTATACTGCTTCATCCCTTTTGCTCCATATAGCATATCTTTTGTGTTTCCAGTCCCTGATCGAGGATGCTTCTGGGTACTGTGGCTAGTGATACTAGACGCTAATTAGACAAGACATGGAACAACTGTTCGGAAAACAACTACAGGTTGCCTAGGGCAACTCAAACATCACTAGATGCCTAAGTTTAAGTGCCTGCATTGCTCTCCTCGTTTGGCCACACATATGTCTTGACCTACCACACTTGGTTATCCCAGGCCTTCTGACTCACTGAGTGGAGCTGCCTACACTCTCCTTGGGCCTGGATTCAGAGCCGGTGTGTGATGCTCAGCCCACCATCCCATGAAAAATGAATAGTCCTGGAATGTACTTTCCATGCATTAGACATCCCAGATGGGGATGTTTCCTGATCCTCTTTTCCCAGATGGTGTTTCTGAGTTTAGAAGAGTGAAATGACTTGTATGGGGACACAGGATTCTTGAGTCTTAGATTTGCTCTGTCTAGGTACTGTCTCCTGTTTTATACTATTAGGTTGACCTCTTTCTTGTCACAACAGAGGCAAGTGGACCAATTACTTGCTGTCTAGTGTCACCTCTAAGCCCCTTTTAATAATTTTCTACCTGAAAAATTTTTATAACAATAATGGATTTTGCATTTCTTTAAACTAGTCAAAAGGTGTTTGTGTCCTGCAATCACCCTCTTTATAATACTTCACATCAACTCTTTAATGAGAGCAAAGCTGATGAACTACAGGCATTTACGCAGCTGAACTCTGCCAGCATACTCTTGGGTCTCCCACAGATGTTTCTGCTTCTGAAAGTGATGGAAACTTCATGGATTATTTCTTACTCTCAGTAGCAAATGTCAGTACAGCTCTAGAAACTGCTGCTCACCACCAAGAAAATGCATTAATTCCCAAACTGGGCCAAACCCCCTAAATTGTTCATATTCATGGTTTGCTAGAAACCACTAAGAGTTACTGACCATCCAGGGCACAGTTTACTGCTCCTGTGAAGTACTGTACTTTTTGGAAATAGCCTTATTGTATAGATTATTTTAACCATGTTTTATAAATAGCATCTCAGGAAACAGAATGTGAGAGAGGAAGGAAAGATTAATAATGCAGATTTCCAGACAGTGAGAGAAATCTTAGACTGTCATTGATACAAATAAGCAGTGGTTAGATTATCTTGCCCCTCCATGATAACATCTGATATTCTGCATGGAAATGAATTCAAAGTGGAACGACTTCACAGCCTATTCATTTTTCTAGAAGTGACCCATGCACCTAAAACATTTTGATACTTACAGTTTCTGACCAACACCCCATTTCAAGTGCCAACCCAGATTCACCTTTCCAAACATCACTGGCAAAACCAAGGTGTTTCTCTTGTTTGTTTAATTTCCTTTGATATGAAGTGCTCATTGATAGGGTGCGAGTACGCTGTCAGTTATTTTTCCATTATGAAATGCAATACAATTGACAATTGACTGAACTGCAGCCCAGTGACAAATATTAAAACATATCTGTATGCTGACTTTTAGCTCAGCACTATTACCTCTCCTTAAAGATCAGCAGAAACAAAAGACACAGCATGTCCTGAATATAGACAAACCAGAACTATACCAGGCAGAGATAGCTAGTTATTTCAGGGCTCCTGCCGGGAACATTTTCTCTTTGTTATCCCAGAGTAATCTAAAATCATTATCTCTGCTGCTTGCAGAAAAAGGGACTGCACTGGGGACAAGGAGGTGGGCAGAAGATGTAGCTATATTTGCAGCATGCAGTTTTAGGCAACCTGTTCAGAAATGCAGGGATTACTGCTGTGGATGAGAGAGCAAGGGTGCTCCTGAGTTTTCCAGAGGCTCTTTAACTTAGACAGTATCTCCTACAACAGCACTCTGCACTGCTTTCAGTGCGAAATTATGCTTTCTGATGGGAACTCAGTTTTGCTGCACCTTTGTGACTACTTAGAAGCAGGGTTAAGAGATCTGGGGAAATCCCTCCTGCTCTATATTGGGAAATCACTCACTGTACCACTGCGTGTGAATCCATGGACAAGACAGAAGAAATAAGGTGAGCAAGTTCTCACCATTTCTTCCCTCCCCATTGCAGAAGTTGGAGACGATAAAGTAGTGTTTACAGAGCAACTTCTTGGCTGTACCCCAACCCCAGCAGGGGTTCTGTTTATAAGGTTGTGTAGATTTTTTCATGCACAGACCAGTCACCTAGGTTTTGCACGGGGCCCTGGACTTAAGTTTTGGATTAATATCTTAGCCAAGCAACTTAGCAAATATTAGTTAATTTAATATTCTCATTCTACCCATGAAGGGAAAATCATTAACCTTTCACACACAAGTAAATAGAGGCATAAAGCAGTTATGGAATCTGCCCAGCATGTGAATTGGTAGGAATATTTAAGGGATAAAAACTCCCAGAGGTCTTAAAATCCTATACAAAAGGATTTTTAAACCTGTCAATATGGGTAAGTGCTCTTTCTTTTCTGTGTTTGCCATCCTAAGAAGGGAGCGTGGAAATGTGCAAAAAAATATTCTAATGCAACCTTTGTTAGCTGTAGTGCTGCTAGGTACTGTCATATCACTCAGTCTGTGAAATATTTAGTTTACTTTGTCTTGCTATAACCATGAACAGGATTGGTGAGTGGTTTCTTGAAGACCTAGAAAAACGGCTGAGTGAAATTCCTGAAGGCGAAACTTATACCCAACTTCTTTTGCAGTTTTCCGCTATTTTGTAAAAAAGAATGCATTAAAGAAAAAGAAAGAAAAAGAAAGAAAAAGAAAGAAAAAGAAAGAAAGAAAAAAACCCCAGGCAGCTTAGCTTTTCTTTTCTCAGAAATTAGTACTGAAATTGGATAGTTTTTTTGCCCAGGAAGTGCCATCACTAACATTTCCAGCAGAGCAGCTGATACCTCTTCAAATCACAGTGCTACTGGAGGCAGCAGAGAAATGGTAAAAGGGAAGAGGACACCAGAGGAAACTGATTTTTGGTGTCATTGTCAAGCTTCTCACCATCTCCAGCAGGTTCAAGAGTAACTGGCTGTGTCTTCTGACTATGTTATAAGCTCGACAACAAAGCTCCACAAACTCTTGAAAACGCTGTGGGTTTTTTCCACCTTCTGTGATGAAATACTCCATCTCTGATGTGAAGATGAAGGGAGCTCGGTCCCTTGAAAAGAAGAGAACAATTACATGAGAAATTTCACCGAAAATAGCAAATCATGCAAGACAGTTAATATTTGTAACTCATTATTCACATTTGTTTTTCCACTATTAACTTCCTCATTATTTCATCTCTCCCTTCCTCAATGTGGACAGCTTGATCGCTCTCCCTGGTGTCACTGACTAATTGGGGCAGAGACAGGTTTCACAGCAAGAGCTTCCTAGTGAGAAATCCAAAAACTGAACAAGTTTGGAGCTTACACGTTTTCTTCTGGCTCTTCATTGCTTTTCTTTCTAAACTCTCATTGCTTTAATTTCTTGACTCCAGCCTGAAAGTGAAGCTGGAAACAAGTCCTCTCCTGGTATTGAAATATTTAAAAGTTGTTCTCAAAAAGGATGGGATACAAATATCAACTCCCTGCTAGGCAAGAAGGGAATTTAAGAAAAAACCCTACAACTCCACAATCTAACAACAAAAAAATACAACATGTGATGATATCATTAAACATACACCGTTCTGAAGGAATGTTTCTGACTCAGGTTACAACCGAATAAACCTAAATACATTGTTTTGTTTTCTGTACAGTTACTCTGTATTCTATTACCCTAAAGTAAATGAGGTGCAGAATCTGACAGCATGTCTTGCCTTTTTTTCTTATCTCTGGCATAGTTTGTGGCTAAAGCATGCTCTTGCAGAAGAAAACAGATTAGCCAGGCTTCTGCTAATAATCCTATCATTCAATAGTTTCAGAAAGGCCTGATATACTGCATCCTCACACGGACAAAAGTACTGCAGTGATTTACTCATCACAACTGTCTATACAGAGGCATGTAAACAGATTAGAGAGCTATATTCCAAGGAAATAGGTGCTGTGTGTTAACCCTTAATTCAAAGTGAACTCGAATAAACTAAATATTCTTGGGAAGCTTGAATGCAGAAATGAATTTGATGATCTCTGTTTCTTGCTAAAACCTGAAAAGTGGGCTGAGTCCGAACCCACTCTGCTTGCTGATTCATTCATAAATGAGACAGAGAAGTTTTCATAGGATTTGTCCTCATTTTCCCATAAAAACACCTGCCTTGTATTATTGCAGAAGGAAAGTCAAGTTGCCATGAGATTCTAGGCTGCTGCTGGAAGTCTTAGTCTCAAGAAATGTTCAGGTGGCCTTCACATTCTTATGTTTGGAAATTCTTCCTGGTTTACATTGAAGCTAACTTTGAAACCAGACCTCCCATGAGTGTCGTTCACCTCAAAGCAGCCCAGGCCATTAAAGTATTTGATTTTTTTTTAATATATTATTCAATTTTGGGTAGGTAGTACTAGGAATGATGAAGGTCCACAATAGTAATTCTTTCCTTCCACATTTTTCTGCATTATGCAAGATGTGAACTCATAGTGTGACAGTTATTTTGCAGTATGACTGTTACATAGTTACTATGTAGTTTTGTGCTTTAACTCTTGGAGAATTACAAACCTGTGTCTATAACTGACTGCAGAGAGCAAGATTTTCCCAGAATCTTCTTTCTTTCTTTCATTCATTCATTTTTTAGCTTATCTTTTGTTTTAGCAGTGGTATTTAAAATAGACATTAAGTATTAAATAAATTGATACAATTAGAGTCATGGAAGTTAATTTGTTGACGCTAATAAGAAAGAGAGATAGAGCCAGAAAATTAGCAGTGTTAACATTTGGACTTCTGTCCACAGATAAGTGAAATCTAAATCCTGATTTGAAAGCATTTCAGCATCTTGAGAATGTCTAAAACCCAAATCTGTTTCTCATCTGCATTTATGTTTTTGGGCTAAAATATTCCAAGTCAAAACTACTTCTGTAAAGGTCCCATATTATGTATTTTGTTCAAAATTCATATTTAATTTCTGATGTCCAACCGCATCAAGGGACACAATTGCACTGTGAAAACATAGCCCTTTCTAAGCTAGTCCAAATCTCCCACATTAAGCTACTTGAGCTGAAAACAGACACTGCAATCAGAAATTACTTTACTGGAAAAAATATGTGTTTAACATTGTTGGGTTGGGCTGTGGGCCAACTTCCACACAAAGCGATGACTGCAACGTTGGTCAATTCTCTTACTGTTGTTGCAAAACAATCCACTTGAACATATAACTGATATTTTAGTATTTATATTATTTATAGATTAAATTTATTTGTAAGATGATTTTAAGCAGTTTTACAAGGTTCTTAAATTTCTCAGTATCATTTAAGACTGTCTTCTAAGGTGGTAGGCCTGTCCTCCCTTGTTAACTTGCAAAATACGATGTAGCAATTTGCTTTCCCTGGTTTTGCTCAAGATCTTGTGATATCAGAGCTTCTCCCGCAAAGTAAGCCCTGCAACCAGTCAGATGCTGAAGCTCCATTCCTGCACGCGTCCAAGTAAGCTGGCTGCTCATAAAAGGAACGTTTTGCAATTGAAATTAAAAACCCACATAAAACCAACTTAGTATAGGAGACTAGACCCACTAGAAGGAACAACACAATCATTTCTCACGCCAATAATAAAAAGCAAAGTTTCAGTGGGAGGAGATGCTTACTCACTGAAGAGTACATAAAGGATTCTGAAAAACCAGTTGACAGGGATGAATGTCTTTGTATGGGTGCAAAATGTTCCTTGCTGCTTTCACAAACTCCTTGGGAATATAAAAACATAGAAGGGGATAGTCTAAAAATTACTCCAGCAAAATTACAAACAGCCAAGTCAAGTCACCATCCATCATACATGGGAAAATTTACATCAGCAAGAAACGGAGGCTCTTTTAGCCTACATAAGAAAAAAAGCAATGCATGCCCTGGTGTTGCATAAGCATTCTAATTTATCACACACACACGCAAACAAACCTCACACCAGTGCATAGCCTGTCTTTCTGTATTTAAACCAGTACATCTCCAATATCTCTAGCCTTCTTTGTGGCACATAGCTAAGATCATATTACATGATGGCATTTATTCAGAAGATATGCAATGCCTCCAAAGGCCTGGTAATAATAACAACTACGAAAGACATCACTCATTTGGACATAAATGTATTACATAGCTTGCTTACATGAAGTTATCTAAAAGATGTAAACGTGAAACACTTCTTACCCCAGAACATACCCTCAAGATTGCAGCTAAGCCCTATAATACTTTACATCCGTAGGATGTTCAAAGACCAATGACTGTGTTACAACCAATGGGACAAAAGCCCCTTGGCCTAAAATCTGTATCTATTACAGCTTGCTGCCTCCATCAATTAATGAAATGACTAGCATCAGTTTAACAAAACTAGTATGATGAAGTATTTTCAAGTAAAAGCCTTTTACCATATCTCTTCAGGATCATAGAATCATTTGGGTTGGAAAAGACCTTTAAGATCAGTGAGTCCAACCATCAACCATGCCCACTAAACCATGTCCTGAAGTGCCTTGTCTACACGCTTTTTTAATACCTCCAGGGATGGTAAAGACCAGAAGTTTTTTTTTCTTTATGGTGTGCTAAGGAAATAAAGAATTGAAGCATTCTTGAATGACCTCTACTGTATAATGGTAATGCTGGGTACCATCATTTCTAGAAAAAAAAAGCCTTATTGACAGAACTGGTGTGGCTTGAGGTAGACCAAAGATGTACAGCCAACAAGCCTCGCAAAATCATTAAAGCTACCTTACTACAGCTCGCTCACTGTTTTTGTTTTTGTTTTGTTTTTTCCTTTTTTTTTTTTCCCACCAAAGCCCTAGGTGAGATTAATGAGCCCTTTGGTTTTATAATAGAAATCAGTCAAAAAAGCAATACCCCTGTGTATGACAGAGTCTGTTTGCAGTCCTGGACCCTAAAGACTTATACTTTACTATGGCTGCGACAAAGAGTTTACTCAAGTCATTCAGTGAGAAGCAAGGCTAGTTTTATGGTGGTTTTATTCTTTTTTTCTTGGGTACTGCTTTTAGAGATTTAAGATTTTCATGGGAATGTGTTTTGCAGTTCCTCTGGAGATTAAGAATGTTTGGATGATATGTCATGAGTGGGAGGAAAGAAAGGAAACCTCAAGCAACTGAAGAGATCATTATGCAAAAACAAGCTTGGTCTGGGGTGATGGGAACATTTACTGGGACTTCACTGTAGGCTAGAAGTATGCTGCATTCCTAGAAGACCAGTAAGATCATCAGGATTTGTTATGAAACACTAGATGTAAAGTGATTAACAAAGCTTGTAAGGTCAACAATGGTTTTGGTTTTAGTTTTTCCTACCATGAATCTCACGGTACAGAACAGTTAAGAATGATACACTGACTTCCTTTTATCTTAAGTAGAAAAAGCATATGAGATAATCATCAACAAATGACCTTTGCTCTGATCCTATCTAAACTTCCTAATAGTGTAGTTATGGAAAAGTTCAAGTCACACACAGTAATACAATGAGATCAAACCAGTTGTAGTCCAAGTTGTCATATGGACATAGGAGACAATGCGTGGGAAACCATACAGAACTGTTTGCAATTTAATAATCAGCTGCTCAGCAGCATATACCCCCATAAATTCCTTGTCTGCTTTAAAACCATTTTGGCTGAGTCAAGAGTGACTGATAGCATTCAGCATGACTATGTGGAATTTCGATGTATCCAGTAAAATAGGAAAGGCCAAAAAGGGAGTGTTTGAATGCTGGCATCCTTTGCTCTGCAGTAAAAGCCAAAAGCTTGTTGAAGAACACCCTCACACAAAATAAATGAACATGAGTGCTTATTTCTCTAAGCCAAGTGAAAATATCTAATCACAGTAATCATATATTTTTGAAGACACAGAAAAAAACATGAGCAAATGTATTCCTTTCATATGTTAAAGAATGAAACAGTGAACAACTGCACAATACAATTCTTCTCAAGCAAGCATATAAAGAGTCATAAATAAATATATGCCTGCAAAGGGGATCAGAAAAGATACTCCATCTTCCTGCTTACCAGGACAAGATCAACCATAAACATGCTTCTGAGATGCTTCTTTAGCCTATTCTCAAATAT